TTATGAGGTAAATCTTGCTTCCCCCCCTCCCCCCCCCCGACTTTGCTTGCCAGAAGATGGCTGCCAAGGTTACAGATGGCAATCACATGACCCCGGGGTAGTGCAACTGTCAGAAATACATGCCAGTTGTCAAGCACCTCAATTTTGATCACGTGACCATGGGGATGCTGCTATGGTCGAAGTGTGAAAAACAGTCATAAGTCACTTTTTTCAGTGCCATTGTAACTTTGAACGATCACTAAATTAATGACTGTAAGTTAAGGATTGTCTGTGTTTTTAATTTGTGCAATTTGTACAAACCATACTTGCTTCCTAATGACAGATTTTATCTTCCTGCGCTCCAAGATCACCACAGATGGGGGCTGCAGCCAAGAAATTAAAAGACGCTTGCTCCTGGGGAGGAAAGCTATGGCAAATCTAGACAGCATACTAAAAAGCAGAGACATCACCCTGCCAACAAAAGTACGTATAGTCGAGGCCTTGGTTTTCCCAGTTGCAATGTATGGCTGTGAAAGTTGGACCATAAGAAAGGCTGAGTGCCAAAGAATTGAGGCCTTTGAACTATGGTGCTGGAGAAGACTCCTACAAGTCCCTTGGACTGCAAGGCGTTCAAACCGGTCAGTCCTAGAGGAGATCAACCCTGACTGCTCTTTAGAAGGCCAGATCCTGAAGTTGAAACTCAAGTACTTTGGCCACCTAATGAGAAGGAAGGACTCACTGGAGAAGAGCCTAATGCTGGGAAAGATTGAGGGCAATAGAAGAAGGGGACGACAGAGAATGAGGTGGCTGGATGGAGTCACTGAAGCAGTAGGCGTGAGCTTAAATGGACTCCAGAAGATGGTAGAGGACAGGAAGGCCTGGAGAAACATTGTCCATGGGGTCACGATGGGTCGGACATGACTTCGCAACTAACAACAACAACAACAACAACAACAACAACAAATACTTGCTTCCAGCCTATTCATGACTGCTTCATATACTGCCTTTTTTCTTGAAACTTCTCTGTTGTCAAGATTTTATCTACCACAACTTGCATGATCTCCTTTTTCCTCCCTAATTCTTCCTTTTTAATCTCTTTAATTTTCTTTCGGTTCAGATCTCATTTATTGTCTTTATATGGTCCAAGCCTCTCATTCTTCTTCCTATTATTCCTGGCTCTCTCTTTTGTTCAACAAACACTCATTTTCCTCACTACTTTTCTACCACCATTTTTCATGTCGAAAACTGTCTCCATCCATTCCTCATATTTTAATGAAATTTCTACTGAGGTTCCTTGCTCTCATTTTTTGCTATTTTTGCATAGCTTGAGCATGTTCTGTCCATTTTCCCTGACAAACAGAACATTTGATTTTGGAGGCATTATTTTTTTCAGAGTTATATTCCTTGTTGCATCATACAAAGTATTCAACATGTAAATCATTCAGATTCTCATCAAGAACATATAGCATCTACATAAAAAGTACATTTATTTTCACCTCTGCAGCCAATATTTCTATACTGTTCATCCATCATAAGCATTCCTTATATATTTAACCATAAAGCACTAAGCAACAACTCTCAATTGACAGAAAACTTTCTATAATGCAAGCTTCTTCATTTTATCTCTTCTTTGATTCAATAGTCATACCAAAATTTTTCTCATATTCACACATTCTCAGTGACATGCTGTACTAAAGAGCAAAAATTGGGACTGTGTCCTTTGCCTAGCAAAACATCACACTGATGATAGTCCCAAATTTCACACATAGTTATCTTATGCCCTCTCAATCAGCATTCTGCCAGTCATATCTAGCAAACAGATCCTTCTATAGATTTTATTCCTGCTATCTTCCCAAATGACTGAAAAAAAATAATAGTATTCTTCCAATTGCATCCATGTTTTAACATTTTCGTGTACACTGCAACCTTACAACTTCTGAACATTCACACAGGATTTATGACTTTCTTTTCACCCTAGAGCTACACCTAACCAAAAACGCATCTGTGGGGGGGGAAGAGGGGGGTTGGGAGCATCCAACCGGGCAAAGTTTGATCACATGACTGAATAGCACTGTGATGATCATAACTTCATTAAATCCCTTTTTTTCAGCGCAGTCATAACTGAATAGTCGTTGAACGAATGGTCCTAAACTGAGGAATACCTGTACAGCTTAGATATAAATTCATATATCACCTCTGGAGGACTTTCATTTGCAGAACGTGATATATTCAGTGAGTGTTTTTTTTAAATAAAATAATAGAGTTTAAAAATGATAAAACCACAAGGAACTTTATGTATTCATTTTGCTTACTTTGATCTTGGTAATTGCTAATATAAATTGTGAACTGAATTTATAATAACATTTCATCAGACTGTGTTTGAGGATTTGGGTCATCTGACTCTTCAGCTGATGTTCTGTTTACCCTGGATTCTAAGTTGGTTGGTTGAACAGAACCATGCAGTCAGAGCTGAAGAAGCTTCTTGGATGAGAAGCAAAACATCTTCAAAGAAAAACAAGAAAGTTCAGTTGCTTGTGAAAAAGCACCTTTGGGACAACCATGACCTGGATGACTGAGAATCTCCATAGATATTTGGTTGAACAGCATTCTTCCTAAGCACTGATTCCTGACAATGGGATCCTTTTGGCCTCTTGTTTTATTAGGGAGCTGAAGAAAAGAGGAAAGCAAAGTTGTTTGGAAGATATCCAGATTCCTAGGCTGCAAAAAGCTTGGTGATCTAATTAAAAGATCTATATAGTATAGTATGATTGCTGTTTTTCATATCCAGCCATTTAGAACCTTGACTGAACATAGCATGGAAGAAGAAACAGTGTTTGCTTAGTGTTTTGAAGTATTAAAAAGGCTTTATCAGCATTATAATTCTTATCCTGAGTGGATTTCCTGTTTTTAAGGCCACAGATATTAGATTACAGCGCTCATCATATCTATTCACCATGTCCCATGGCCTGTAATGATGGAGGTGACATGCAACAATCGGAAAAAAAGATGTTTTAGGAGAGTAGAGGCCATAAAGATGAGATCAGAGAGAGCCAGCTGGTGAGGAATTTTGGGAGTTGCAATCCACATGTTTTAAGTTGCCAAGGTTGAGAAACATTGACCTATATGACTAAGTCATATTTATGTAAGCTCCAACAAAGGACAGAATCTTCCATTGCCATTCCACAATTAAGACATTTCTCCTGGTGTTTACCTTAGTTGTTGAGGGTGATGAATTAGATTTCACTGAGGGGCTAAAGCAGGGGTAGTCAACCTTGGCTCTTTTATGACTCATGGACTTCAACTCCCAGAATTCCTGAGCCAGCTAAAGCTATTCCTCTTCCCCATCAATTCAGCAGCCTGAACGTCATGGGGCAGAGGTTTAGCTGACATCTCTCTGTATCATCATTTTAAGACCTATCTTCTAATGTTACCTCTTTCCTTGTAGAGGAGACTATAAAGAACCATTGCTCTCAGTGGATTCCCCCCCCCACACACACTTTCACAGAGAGATTTGCTTTGTCTACCCAAAATCAGGAAATTCAGGTAACCCTTGACTTACTATCAGAATTGAGCCCAGAATTACAGTCGTAAGTTTTGCTGGTTGTTAAACAGGTCACTTTGTACTTTCAAACTTGCAAGAATCTGATAACGTAGCCTTAACTGTAGTTTTGGCTGAGAAACTGGGCATCCTAGACCTAGACCAGAGGTAGGCAACCCAAAACACTCAAAGAGCCACTTGGACCCGTTTCTCATCGAAAACAAAACACTGGGAGCCGCAAAATCCTTTTGGTATCTAAAATGAAGATAACACTGCATATATCCTTTTTTACCTTTATTACACACACACACACACATATCTCATAAAGATAAAAAAGGATATATGCAGTGTTATCTTCATTTTAGATGTCAAAAGGGTCTCTCTCTCCCTCCCTCCCTCTCTCTCTTTCTGCCCTTAGTCTGCCAGTCCTCTTCCCCCACTCTCTTTCTCTTTTTTTCTCTCTCTCTTTCTCTCTCTCTCTCTTCCCCTCCCTCTCTCCGATCTTCTGCTCACCTGGCAAGCTGGCTTCAAGGTGTTCTCCAACAAGCTCAGGGGTAGTCATCCTCGGCTCTTTTATGATTCATGGACTTCAACTCCCAGAATTCCTGAGTCTGCATAGCTGGGCTAGCTAGCTCTCTCCTGCCCTTCCTGCTTCCTGCAGAGATGCAGCAAAGGGAGGAGCCCTGCCCAAAAAGCTTTTCAGCTTGTCGGAGAACAACGTGAATCCATTCTCTTTTACACACACACACACACAAACAAACAAACACAAACACAGAGAGAGACAGAGAGAGAAGCAGGGAAGCGCAAGTGCCTCTCTCTCTGTCTCTCTCTCTCTGCAAATGGCAGAGGAGGCTGGGAGCCACAGGGGAAGGCTCAAAGAGCTGCATGCAGCTCCGGAGCCGCAGATTGCCGACCTGTGACCTAGACCAAGCCAAGCCCAAAAGTGCCAGAGAATTCCTGGAAGCCTGGCATTCTGACAAATTGGCCATCAGTGGACACATAGACATAAGCAACATCTACATACTGTTCAAAAGAGACAATCAACAAGCCAAAAAGGAAACAAAGACCAGAATACCTCCTCGCCTGTATGAACCAGGCCCTCCCTCCCTCAGTTTCCCTATCCTTGAACAATCCTTTGTCACAATATAATTTTTACTGAGTTAAACACTGTCTATGTTTTTCCTCTACTTCTCTTCTCAGTCCTCATCCTGGTCCCCCCAGTTCATCAATGTCATTCCTAAAATGGGGATATCTGGAAGCGGACCTCTTTAAGATAATAGGACATTTTTGTCACCAGGGATCTGATGATCTGACTATGGAGAATATGGAAGGAAATGGCTTTATTTTCCTGACTGAACCCGATTTACTGCCTGGCCTTTAACAAGCAGCCCCATCTGCTCAGCTGTGGGATGAAGATAAGGCTGTTTGAATTGATAAACCTACGGCATGAGGGATGTTGGATAAAAAGTACAACCAAAAAGAGAGAGACTGTAACTGCAGGGAATGCAGTTCTCTTCCCACTCCACTCCTATCGTTTGAGCTTGTGCTGTGACAGCCTCTATTTTAATACGTGCCTCAGCTGAATGGATTGAAAACCAGGTTTGTGTAGTGGTTAAGGCACCAAGCTAGGAATCAGGAGACTCTTGAGTTCTAATTCCGTTTTAGGTATAAAGGCATCTGGGTGATTTTGGACCAATCACCAGGAGATGGTGAATTCTAGTTCCAGTTTAGACAGGAAAGCAAGTGGGTGACTTTGGGCCAATCACCAGGAGATGGTGAGTTCTAGTCCCTCCTTAGGTATGAAGACAGCTGGGTGACTTTGGTCCAATCACCAGGAGATGGTGAGTTCTAGTCCCTCCTGAGGTATGAAGACAGCTGGGTGACTTTGGGCCAATCACCAGGAAATGGTGAGTTCTAGTCCCTCCTTAGGTATGAAGAGAGCTGGGTGACTTTGGGCCAATCACCAGGAAATGGTGAGTTCTAGTCCCTCCTTAGGTATGAAGACAGCTGGGTGACTTTGGGCTAATCACTAGGAGATGGTGAGTTCTAGTCCCTCCTTAGGTATGAAGACAGCTGGGTGACTTTGGTCCAATCACCAGGAGATGGTGAGTTCTAGTCCCTCCTTAGGTATGAAGATAGCTGGGTGACTTTGGGCCAATCACCAGGAAATGGTGAGTTCTAGTCCCTCCTTAGGTATGAAGACAGCTGGGTGACTTTGGGCTAATCACTAGGAGATGGTGAGTTCTAGTCCCTCCTTAGGTATGAAGACAGCTGGGTGACTTTGGTCCAATCACCAGGAGATGGTGAGTTCTAGTCCCTCCTGAGGTATGAAGACAGCTGGGTGACTTTGGGCCAATCACCAGGAGATGGTGAGTTCTAGTCCCTCCTTATGTATGAAGACAGCTGGGTGACTTTGGGCCAATCACCAGGAAATGGTGAGTTCTAGTCCCTCCTTAGGTATGAAGATAGCTGGGTGACTTTGGGCCAATCACCAGGAAATGGTGAGTTCTAGTCCCTCCTTAGGTATGAAGACAGCTGGGTGACTTTGGGCTAATCACTAGGAGATGGTGAGTTCTAGTCCCTCCTTAGGTATGAAGACAGCTGGGTGACTTTGGTCCAATCACCAGGAGATGGTGAGTTCCTCCTTAGGCATGAAAGCTGGCTGGGCAATAGCTATGTGCAAAAATGATTATAAATCACTTTCCTCAGTGTTGTAACTTTGAATGGTCACATAATGAATGGTTGTAAATCAAGGACTAACTAAACAAGGAGTCAGCCAAATGTTTGGATATTTGAACTTATGAGTGCTGGCTATCATAGTGCTAAGGAAAAAGATTGGAAAGGCAGGTCTAGCAGTGGCATTCAGATATTTGAAGTCATGGCAATACCAGGCCCAGATACGGAAGCTAAATTATTACCTCCTTTCCTAATGCTGAAATAAATAAATCTCAGCCTGTAAATGCCGTCTCTTTTTATGCTTTTAAAAATATGCATTATTACTCCCCTATACAAATGCATAAGCAATCAGTGGTGGAAAAATAATAGTCTCGCAGAAATGAAAAAGGGGAAAGAGATGGGTGCAGATGCTGGGAGAATGCGCAACGAATCTAAAAGCAAATGATTTTGTTATAGCAAATAACAGATGTGAGGTTGGGGAAGAGGTAGTTGGTAGCAGATGTGTTGCTTTTCATGCAAAAAAAAAAATTAAAAAAAGCACGTGCCTTAAAAAACATTGACAAATTACTTTGCTTTTCAGTTCTCTCTCAGAATGATGCCAATGTATCATTTTGCTTTTATAAGTTTTGTTCATTCCATAATCATTTCTTGTGTACTTTAAAAAAAAAAAAGCAGGAAGGGGAAAACATGGAAGAATCGGGATTTCCCCCCCCCCAAAAAAATACAAGTCCTATTACAGGATGCATGTTTAAGGGCCTGATCCCCTGCCACCTCAGAGAATAAAATGCTTCTCAATCTTCCACAGCTTTCCACTAGAAGGAAATACAGTCATTAGAATCGTGGGTCACAGGTGAGATGCAAGTAATGAACATTATAGGAAGTTCTTGACTAACAATCCCAAGTGGGACCAGAATATCCATTGCTAAACCAGATAGTTGTTAACTGAGTCGTCCCTGATGTTACAAACTCCTTTGCCATGGTTATTAAGCGAATCCGTGTAGTTGTTAAGTGAATCATACAGCCATTAAGCAAATCTGGCTTCCCTCATTGACTTTGCTTGTCAGAAGCTGGCTGGCAAGGATGCAAATGGCCATCACGTGACCCTAGGATCCTGCAATGGTTCTAAATCAGGGGTCCTCAATCCCCGGTCCGTGGACCGGTATTGGGCCACGGCATGCCAGCAACCAGTCTGCACAAACAAGGAAAGCCCCATCCCTGGGATGCAGGCAGCACACCAAACCACGCACTCTCCGGTCCATGGAAAAATCTTTCTCCATGGAACCAGTCCCTGGTGCCCGAAAAGTTGGGGACCTCTGTTCTAAATGTATGCCAGTTGCCCAGATAAAAGATAAATACTTCTTAGATTAGGTAAGTTATTACTGTCCCATTAAAGATGAATAGATCTAAAATAATAATAATAATAATAATAATAATAATAATAATAATAATAATAATAATAATAATAATAATAATAATAATAATAATAAAGTTGGAAGGGACCTTGGAGGTCATCTAGTCCAACCTCCTACTCAGGCAGGAAACCCTATACCATTTTGGACAAATGGCTGTCCAGTCTCTTGTTAAAAACTTCCAGTGTTGGAGCATTCACCGCTTCTGGAGGTTGTTCCACTGGTTAATTGTTCTCACTGTCAGGAAGTTTCTCCTTAGTTCTAGGCTGCTTCTCTCTTTGGTTAGTTTCCACCCGTTGCTTCTTGTCCTGCCTTAAGCACAAATCAGCAGATTTACATTTCACAACCTTTGACTGGTCTAGGAATAGCAATAACACTTGGACTTACATGCCGCTTCACAGTGCTTTACAGCCCTCTCTAAGCGGTTTACAGAATCAGCATATTGCCCCCCCCCCCCCAAACAATCTGGGTCCTCATTTTACCGACCTCAGAAGGATGGAAGACTGAGATTCAGCCTAGATCCAGTGAGGATCAAACTGCTAGCTGGAGGCTCAGTCAGCCTGCAATGCTGCATTCTAACCACTGTGCCACCATGGCTCTTAATGTAGCATAGTAAACAACAGGTAGTCCTCAATTTACAACAGTTCATTTTCAACATCCAAAGTTACAACAGCACCGAAAATTTGGTCAGGATCAATTGGAAGTCACTTTTTTCATTGCCATTGTAGCGTCACTTAACATCTGCCTGATTTACTTAACCCCTGTGGCAAAAAAGTTAGTAAAATCAGGCACAATTCACTTAATCTCCACCTTGCTCAGCAAAGGAAATTCTGCTCCCAATTGCAGCCGTAAATCAAGGACTAGCCGTATTTACTAGTCATAATTACTCATCTTAAACATGAAGATTCTGCTACAGCTATTTATGGTTCAGGTCACTGTTTGACTAGCCAATTCTTCCAGAAATTAACAAACCTTTCTCCACCCAGTGATGGGATTGAGTCAGATTTCCAGATGAGCCTTTAATCCTGAATGATGCTACCAAGATTGCAAACTGATCTGGCATGTTACACTGGGCACAACTATTCCCAACCTGATTTTCTTCAGATCAACTGGACTAAACTTCTTGACAGTTTCTAGGTTTCTGCAAAGCAGAGAAGAGAGGAACAAACTTTCCCAGACAGAGCACACTTAACCTTAGAGAGTGAAAAACAGCAGTGATAAAATGGCAGGAGCAGAAAATCTTTATTTTTCAATTAGGGACTCTGAGTAGGAGTCGGTCTCTCCCTGAAGAAGGAAGTCTGATTTTTTTTGGGGGGGGGGGGTTCCTGTTGGATTTAAAACTTCCGCTACCACAGGAGGAGGTCTGTAGTGACAGTGATTCACACCCCTAATCACCTCACAGTTAGATTATTAACACTCTACATGTGGCTGCTTTTGAAGAGAACTCAGGAGCTACAGTCCGGCCAGAATCTGACAGCTCATCTGATTAGCCAGCAGGAGCAAATTTAGCAGTGTGGCCTCAATGCTACAGTCTCTGCACTGGTTATTGGTTTTCTTTAGGGTCCAATGCCAAAAGTGGTAGTTATCAACTTTAAAATCATAAATGGCTCAGTTCCCAATTGCTCACAGGTCTGTCTCTCTCTTCCCCCCTCAAGTTTCAATCTGCCCTGGGGGGTTCTTCTATGATAGGTGGGCAACTATGGCCCCCTTATGACCAATGGACTTGAATACCATGGATGACTTAGGAGTTCTGGGAGTTGAAGTCCACAGGTTGTAAAGAGGCCTTAGTTGCCCACCCTTGTTCTAGGAAAAAGAGGCCAAACTAGGAAACCAACTCAACAGGAAGATTAAACCTACTTTTGTTGACACTGGCTATAACAGGGGTCTTCAAACTTGGCAACTTTAAGACTTATGGACGTCAACTGCCAGAATTCCTCAACCAGCCTTGGACTCTAGAAAGAGTACAGAGAAGAGCAACAAAGATGATTAGGGGACTGGAGGTTAAACCATATAAGGAACGGTTGCTGGAATTGGTTATGTCTAGTTTAATGAAGAGAAGGATGAGGGGGGACATGATAGCAGTCTTCCAATATCTCAGGGGCTGCCACAAAGAAGAGGGAGTCAAGCTATTCTCCAAAGCGCCTGAAGGCAGGACAAGAAGCAATGGATGGAAACTAAGCAAGGAGAGAAGCAACCTAGAACTAAGAAGAAACTTCCTGACAGTTAGAACAATTAACCAGTGGAACAACCTGCCTCCAGAAGCGGTGAATGCTCCAACACTGGAAGTTTTTAAAAAGAGACTGAACAGCCATTTGTCCAAAATGGTACAGAGTTTCCTGCCTGAGCAGGGGGTTGGACTAGATGGCCTCCAAGGTCCCTTCCAACTTTATTATCATTATTATTAATAATAATAATAAAAATAAAAATAATAATAATTCTGGGAGTTAAAGTCCACAAATCTTAAAGTTGCCAAGTTTGAAGACCGCTGGGCTATAATAACAGAATTTTGCAACACTAATTGTGCTGGACCTCTTTCTCTTTCTTATACAGGTAGTCCTCGACTTACAAACATTTGTTTAATGACCAAAGTTACAACAGCACTCAAAAAAGTAACTTATGACCACTTTTCATACTTATGACCGTTGTAGCATCCCTGTGGTCGTGTAATCAAAATTCAGATACTTGGCAACTGGTTCACATTTATGACAGTTGCAATGTCCTGGGATCACGTGACTCCCTTTTGTGACTTTCTGACAAGCCAAGTCAATGGGGAACCTAGATTCACTTTACAGCCATGTTACTAACTTAGCAACCGCAGTGATTCACTTAACAACTGTGGCAGGAAAGGTTGTAAAATGGGGCAAAACTCATTTAACAACTGTCTTGCTTAGCAATGGAAATTTGGAGCTCAGTTGTGGTTGTAAGTCGAGGACTACCTGCAATTCAGCGGATCAGGGGAGAGTCACTTTGAATCTTACCTGAATTTCTGGACTTAAAAATGCTTCAGTCCCTTTTGCTTAGGTAGCGGTTCCTGCAGGCAGGTAGTCCTCAACCTATGACCAATGTGAAGTTGTATATAAGTCTAAGATTAGTGCTATTGCTATTATCCCCTTCAGTTCATGTAACCCAGCATCCAGAAAAAGCATCCTCGCCTCTCCTTCCCAGGGCAAACTCACAGCTTGAGGGCGAAGCAGAAACACACCTACAGAAGCAATACACATTTGTACTTACCCTGATTACGCCCTCCAACAAATACCCACAGGCACACCCACAGACAAACCTTGTGGACACTCTGATTAGTCCCTGGGGAGATACACCCAGAGTTGTGACATGCTACTTCAATATTTAGAAAAACATACTGGCAAAGGGCTGGAGGAATTCAAGTAGCTCTGTGTTAGGAGAACTTCCCAACGTTTTTGGCAGTTGAGATGTTGCCGTGTATTTAACTTTAGGTAAAGGTAAATTTATTTATGTATTTATTAAGAAAATTTATATGGCCACCCAATACTGACTCCAGGCAGCTTACAGCAGTAACATTTAAATTTTTGCTCCACATTCTAAAGTGTTCCTGTAAGTTGGCTTGCTTTGTATGGAGAAGGCAAGGCTCATACAGATAGTCCTCGACCAGAATTGAGCCCAAAATTTATTTTGCTAAGTGAAACATTTGTTAAGTAAATTTTGCCCCATTTTACGACCTTTCTTGCCCCAGTAGATAAGTGAATCACTGCAGCTATTAGTAACACAGTTGTTAAGTGAATCTGGCTTCCCCATTGAGTTTGCTTGTCAGAAAGTTGCAAAAGCTGATCACGTGACCCCAGGACATTGAAACCATCATAAATATGAGTTAGTTCCCAGGCGTCTGAATTTTAATCAATTGAGTGTAGAGATGCTGCAATGGTCGTAAGTGTGGAAAAATGGTTATAAATCACTTTTTTTCAGTGCTATTGTAACTTTGAACACTAAATAAATGGTTGTAAGTTGAGGACTACCTGTATAGCCACCCAGGCAGCTCACAGAAATAAAATTTAGATTTTTGCTCTACATTCTGTGGTGTTCTTGTAAGCTGCCTTGTGTTGTATGAAGAAGACAAGGTGCATATTTGCCTAAAATTAGAATACAGGTAGTCCTTGACTTAGGATCACAAATGGGACCAGAATTTCCATTGCTAAGCAAGACAGTTGTTAAGTGATCCATGCCTGATTTTACAGCCTTTTTTGTCATGGATGTTAAACAGGTCACTGCTGCTATTGAGTCACTAAACCAGGGGTAGGCAACCTTGGCTCTTTTATGACTCGTGGACTTCAACTCCCAGAATTCCTGAGCCAGCATGGCTCAGCATGGAAACCTCTCCCTTCCCCTCAGCATGGCTGGCTCAGGAATTCTGGGGGTTGAAGTCCACCAGTCATAAAAGAGCCAAAGTTGCCTACTCCTGCATTAGGGTGATGGTTAAGCAAACCCAGCTTCCCCCACTCATTTTGCTTGTCTGGGAAGGTCACAGATGGCGATCACAAGACCCCCCCCCCAGGACACTTCAACCATCATACACAGGTACCAGATGGCAAGCGCCAAAATGTCATTTAATTATGTGACTGTGGAAATGCTGCAACAGTGGTAAGTGTGAGGGCCAGTCATGAGTCTGGGCTATTGTAACTTCAAACGGTCGTTAAACAAATGGTTGTAAGTTGAGGATTACTTGTAAAAGATAATTAAATGCAAATTAAGCTGCGCTTCAAATTTATGTTCTGTTTCATGCTTTGTTCTTCAAAACACAAGACTTTAGCACTGAGCATTAGAGAAAACTCAGCATAGCAATAGCGAAACCACTTAGACTTATATACCACTTTACAACCCTCTCTAAGCCAGGGCTTTTCAACATTTTCACCCATTGTACCACTTTTAGGATATGGTAATATCCGAGTACCACCAGTCACCTAGCAAGGTGTCAAAAACTTGATGACAAAAAAAAAAGGAAAAAAGTGATGAACAATTCGCTTAGTAACTGTTCGAAGTTACAATGGCACTGAAAAAAATGCCCCCCAAGTCACAGCTGAGCAAGACACCTGCCTGCCCACCCGGCGGCATTCTTCCTCCTGTCCAAGGTTTTTATTGTTGTGAGCATTTCTGTTGAGGATTGGCAGTGGGGGGTGGGGTGGGGGGTGTTTGGTTTTTATTCCCCCCATCTGCTGGGTGGTTGTAGCAGGTTTTGGTCACTTCACATGACCCTGGGACACTGTGACCGTCATAAATATGAATCAGTTGCCAAGCATCTGAATGTAAATCACAAGACCCTGGAGATGCTGCAACATTTCAGCTTATTGGCACTTCTTCTGGGCTCAGGAGAAGCACCAGGATCACTGCCAAGCTCCAGCTGGAGCCTGGCGCTGATCCTGGCGCTTCCACTGAGCCCTGACAGTCCTGAAGAAGCGCCAATCCAGGCGCTTCCGCTGAGCCCTGACAGCCCTGCAGCTCCAGCCATCTCTCGCTCAGGCTTGTGCGGTGCTGCCAACAGTTCAGCTCATTCCTCTCCCCCGCTACCACTTTTCTAGGATGGTCGCATACCATCTGCCAGGTGCCAATGTACCACAGGTGGTACCCGTACCACTGGTTGAAAAGCCTTGCTCTAAGCGGTTTACAGAGTCAGCCTATTGGCCCCAACATTCTGGGTCCTCATTTTACTGATCTCGGAAGGATGGAGGCTGAGTCAACTTTGAGCCGGTCAGGATCGAACTGCAGAACTGCTGGCAGTCGGCAATCAGCAGAAGTACCCTGCAGTACTGCATTCTTACCACTGCGCCATTACGGCCCATAACCTGCAGGAAAGCTGGCTGTCAGGAAGTTAGCTTTGGCTCAGGGGGAGTCCACAAGATAGAGTCATCAAAGTCAAGATGGCAGCTACAATGGGTGATTTCCCATCAAAAGCAGGTAGAGCTTCAATCACATTATCTGACTGCCGTAATGACGTTTTGGACCTGACTCTGTGGCTGCTCTCCTTAGGCCTCCTATCAGCCTATTGCTTAAGATTTCACTTTACTTATGTGTAGGCAATCTGGCTGTGACATCTGTCTCTTTATCTACTTGTTATATTTATACCCTAATGTTTCCCAGGAGCCCAGAACAGCAGATGTTTCTTCTTCCCAGACATGACAGACTGACTTGCTTCACACATTGCCCTAAATCATGATTCATTTTGCCACTGAGTTACCAAAAGATACAAAACTACAGTTTGCAAGTGAAGGCTTTTGCAGGAGGAAATCGCTTTTGGACTTTATGCTTGAAAAAGAAAAAAAAATGAAAGTTTAATTTTTAGGTTTTGATAATTAGAATACTCTGTTGTTATAAAAACAGTTTGTGCTTACTAAATACCTAAAGCAAAAAAATTAAGGTTGCAACAGTACTTTTTCATTCTACTGCACTGAAAATAGTCGGAAGTCACTGCTTTTTTTTTCTTTTCTTCTTATCTTGCATCCCCTTCCCTTCTCCCACATTTTCCTATTTCTTGATCATCTTGATTTTCATTTCTATTTTATATTATAATTTTTTTAAACAAAACTGTAAAAAATGACTTGCACAGAATCATGATTTCCATTTAGCCCTCTTCCACTAATACTTGTTAAAACAATGGTATTATTGATATTTTCATCAGGGTTAATTTATTGAGCACAATAAGGTTAATAAGTGAGTCATCAAACGTAATGATTGAATTCACATAACCTGTTAAATCACGCTCAAATAAACCTCCATGTGGCAAAGTGAAGGGTTCCACAGAGGAGATGCAAAATGTAAGGTAGAATTGAAGCCGTGTTTCTTTTTACATGTGCTGTGACACACATGAAAAAGGGTGGCACAGCTGCTATCTTTTTTACACACATACACACACTCCCCCCCACCCTGCAGACACCTGTGGAGGTGGCCCTGTGTGTTTGTGTCAGCTTCATCAGTAAATTGCATGTCTCACTGAATATCTGGCCATTTAGCCTTCAGTCCCAAGGTCAGAATGGCACAATGTTGTAACTATGCCCATTTTTCTTTTTCTGTTTACAGGGTGAACATATCAAAAGTACATTGCTGCTATGATCAAAGAAGTGAAAGGTTCAGGTTAGCTGAGGTTTATTATTATTATTATTATTATTATTATTATTACTATTACTACTACTACTACTACTACTACTATTATTATTATTATTATTATTATTATTATTATTATTATTATTATTATTATTATTATTACTATTATCATCATCATCAATTCTGGGAGTTGAAATCCACGAGTCATAAAAGAGCCAAGATTGCCTACCCCTGGGCTAGACCCTCCTAAGTTTAAATGAGAGATTCCATAGAAGGTCATGGAGAATAAGAAAGCTAAGTTCCTTGGGATTTCCGGATCCAGACAGACAGGCAGGAACTAACCAGTTAATCAAAAATCATGGTGGAAGACAAGAATCAGAAGATGGTGGTAGAAGTAGTAGGGCAAGTGACAGCAACATCAAGAAGGAGGAGGAGAAGCTGGAGAAGGACCAGGGCCCAAAGGAGGAATTAGAGAAGATGTGGAAAGTAAAGGCCAACATGATCCCAGTGGTGGTAGTGGCACTCAGGACTGTGACTCCTAAGCAGATCCCAGGAACAAAATCAGAGTTCTCTGTCTGAAGAGCGCAGTGCTAGTGACAGCCAAGATCCTGCACAGAATCCTCAAACTCCCAAGCTTCCAGTAGAAGACCCGAGATTAAGGATAACACAGACCACCCATAAGGGTGAGAAGGGAATGGCCAATAGGACCAACAGCAGTAGAATATCTCCATTACATTCAGCCAATTTATTCAGTAACTGTGAGAGGGATCTTGGAGTCCCAGTGAACAGTCACTTAAATATGCAGGGCTTTTTTTCTCACAGAACGCCAAGAATGGAGTTCCGGCACCTTTTTTGGATGGAACCTTATAGGGTAGGCAAGGCAGGTTGTATGACGTGTGTGAGTTCCGGCACCTTTTTTTTTTTTTTTAAAGAAAAAAAGCACTGTAAATATGAGCCAGCATTGTGTGGCAGCGGCCAATGCGATCCTAGGTTGCATTAATAGAGGGATAGAATCAAGATCATGTGAAGTTTTAGTACCACTTTATAAAGCCTTAGTAAGACCGCACTTTAGAATACTGCATCCAGTTTCGGCCACCATATTATAAAAAAAGATATTGAGATTCTGGGAAGAATGCAGAAAAGAGCAACAAAGATGATTAGGGCGCTGGAGACTAAAACATATGAAGAATGGTTGCAAGAATTGATTTGTCTAATGAAAAGAAGGATTAGGGAGTGACATGAAAGCAGTATTCCAATATTTGAGAGGTTGCCACAAAGAAGAGGGGGTCAACTTATTTTCCAAAGGCAAAATAAGAAGAAGGCAAAATAAGAAACAATGGACAGAAACTAATCAAAGAGAGAAGCAACCTAGAACTTAAAGAGAAATCTCCTAACAGTGAGAATAATTAACCAGTAGAACAACTTGCCTCCAGAAGTTATGAGTGCTCCATCACTGGAGGTTTTTAAGAAGAGATTTGTCTGAAATGGTATAGGGTCTCCTGTTTGAGCAGGGAGTGGACTAGAAGACCTCCAAGATCCCTTCCAATTCTGTTATTCTGCTGCTGTTTAGAAAAGCAAGAAACTTGCAGGATAATGTTGCATTGGCTCGTAGGCAGTCACTATAATACATTTGAACTTTTTCCATTATTTATTTATTTGTGTGAGAGAAGTGTGCAAAGCCACAAACCAGCTGGCACCTGCACTTTTATTCTGATGCTTTTATTTATTGCCTCCAAAGAACTGTACCTCGCAGAACAGTGGAACAGCCTTTAGTGATAACGGCAATCTAGCTGCCTGCCACCCTTAGTATGTGGCAGATGGTTTTAGAGACAATCCTCAAGAGCCAGGATTATAAAGCAATTTCCAGCAACTTTAAAACAGGTCTCCATAATTGCTGTTTAAAGTTAACTCTTATCCAGACAGGGAAGAGAAAGAACAATGATTCCATTGTTAGATGAACATGTATGAAGCAAAGGCCAGGGGAAATGAGAACAAAACTGGATTTGGGAGCCTTCTGCTACTGTGGTGTCTTTCAATCGTTTTAATAAAGGGGGAATATTTCATCACTGTTTTGAAATATTGTCTGGCCAAAGAGGGAATCTGGCCCTATCAGTCCTGATAAATGATTGACACGAAGGAAGAGAGGGAGGGGAGAGGGAGGGAGGGAGGAAGGAAGGAAGGAAGGAAGGCCATGGAGGGAGGGAGGGAGGGAGGGAGGGAAGAACTGTATTTACATGCTATTGTCATATAGCCCATCATTCAAGAAGAAGAATAATAGAAAATTCACAGCAGTGCTATCAAGTCAGATAATAAATCAAGGAAGACTGTTGGCCACGGTCATACAGACTTTGAAAGTTCTGGTTTCCTTTCAGCACATATTGTAGCCTGGAATAACGACATATCTAGTGCTATAACAGATCCCGTTCAGCGAATCCCAGCTGGTTGAGGAAATCAGCATGGTCTGGCTTTGCAAATATATGATAACATCTGCCTTTTGATCTGATATAAAGCCTGCTTACCTGCTTACTCAGGAGAAAAATTGCAGTGCTGTTGGCACAGGTGGTGAAACCGCCTCCAAATTCTTGGATTTCTATCAGTAACTTAATTTTCTTTAGGCCACAGCCACTTTGGAAGTGAAGTGAATCAGACATGTCAGGATATCTTCAACTGTACGTAGACCTTGAACAAAAGCCTGGTTCAGGCCATACATTAAGGCTTCATTAATGCAATTCAATACTGGTTACTGATACCAGCAGCAATAGCAGTAGCACTTAGACTTATATCCTGCTCCATAGTGCTTCACAGCCCTCTCTGAGCGGTTTACAGAGTCAGTCTATTGCCCCAACAATCTGGGTCCTCCTTTTACTGACCTTCGCAAGGATGGAAGGCTGAGTCAACTGTGAGCCGGTCAGGATCGAACTCCTGGCAGTGAGCAGAATTAGCCTGTAATACTGCATTCTAATCACTATGCCACTACAGCTCTTAGAAACAGAAGAAAATATTTGTAACTCAGGGTAAAACTGTGAGTTCCTTGATACTCTTTGAACTTGGTTATTTTCTTGCAGACGTTTCATTACCCAACTAGGTAACATCTTCAGTGCTAGAAGGAAGCAGGGTTTGCTCTCCATTTATATGCAGTGGTTTGCCCTGTCAGTGTTGGTGAGCGTGTTGGTTTCTTCTTGATAGTTATCTGGAGTCACTCTAACTCAGTGGTTCTCAACCTTTTTAATGCCGCGACCCCCAACCGGTCGTAAGTCGAAGACTACTCAACTGGTGCAGCACCGTTTGCAGAATGGGACTTTTGGCGGGCTCAGCAGGGCAGAGACAGCCTGGACAATTCCTATTGGCTTTTGAAAGCCAATAGAATTAGACTCTATTCAAGAGAGTCTATTCTATTGGCTTTCAAAAGCCAATAGAATAAAAGGGAGTAGCACAGCTAAGGAAAAGGGGGGGGGACTGGCGGACTGCGTTGTTTGGCGACCCCCGTGAAATGGTCGTTCAACCCCAAATGGGTCCCGACCCACAGGTTGAGAACCACTGCTCTAACTCTTCCTAGAATTAAAGGCTCAATTGAGTGATTAAAAAAAACTAACATCTTGTCAGACATTAATTGCAACCCACTTCTGTATTATTGCCAAAAAGAAAACATAGCTGTATCCATGAAGATACCAGGAATTAAGCTCAACTCAAGGAAGATTTTAGTTGTTGTTGTTTTTAATTAGGAGATATTTTGCTCGAAATAACAACTTAGGGATAAACTGTCATGGAGAAGAACTATCTATGTGGTCACTGGGAGTCAAAAATGATTTGATGGCACATCAATCAATCAATTTTTCTTGATAAAGGGAAAAAAACTATAGAACAGTATATGATGATAAACTGAAAATGAGTCTACAGCATAATATTGCTGCAGGAATTGAAATATACTGCAGTTTGCAAATCGTGTCACATAACAGAGAGTTGATTTGTTTTAGTGGTTAAGGCATCAGGCTAGAAACCAGGAGATGGGGAGTTTTAGTTCCTCCGTAGGCATGGAAACTGGTTGGGTGACTTTGGGCCAATCACCAGGAAACTGTGAGTTCTAGTTCTGGCTTAGTCATGAAAATCAGCCATGTGGCTTTGAGCCAATCACCAGGAGATTGTGAATTCTAGTTCTGCCTATGAGATGAGATTGGTTTGGCATGTCAAAAACAGATCATGCCAAACCAATCTCATCTCATTCTTCAATAAAGTGACTAAACTAGTAGACTAGCAAAACTCAGTGAACATACTATACTTGGACTTCAGTAAGGCATTTGACAAGGTAGACCAGAACCTACTCCTTGGTAAACTAAGAAAAGGTGGGACAGACAACACCACTACCAGATGGATCTGTAACTGGCTAACAAACCATACTCAATGAGTAGTCCTCAATGGCACTACATCCACATGGAGAGAAGTAAGCAGTGAGATACCACAAGATTCCATCTTAGGCGCAGTACTCTTCAATATCTTCTTCAATGACTTAGATGAGAGAGTAGAAGGGGAACTCATCAAATTCTCAGATGACACCAAACTAGCAGGAGTAGCCAACACAGAAAACAAACACAGGATCCAAACAGATCTTGAACAATTTGAACAATGGGCCCTATCCAACAAAATGAGTTTCAATGTGGAGAAAAGCGAAGTCTTACATTTAGGCAGGAAAAACCAAAGGCACAGGTACAGATTGAGCGAGACCTGGTTCAAAAACAGTAACTGTGAGAAGGACTTTGGAGTCCTAGTGGATGATCACTTGACTATGAGCCAGCAGTGTGCAGCAGCAACCAAAAAAGCTAACAAATTCCTGAGTTGTATGAACAGAGGCATAGAATCAAGATCACGAGAAGTACTATTACCACTTTATAAAGCGCTAGTAAGACCACACATAGAATACTGCAGCCACTTTTGGTTACCATACTACAAAAAAGATATTGAGAGTTTGGAAAAAATTCAAAGAAGAACAACTAAGATGATCAGGGGCCTGGAGACTAAAACATACGAAGAACGGC